GGTAGGTAGGTAGCTGTAGGTAGGTGGGGTAGGTAGCTGTTGGTAGGTAGGTAGCTGTAGGTAGGTAGGTAGGGAAGTAGCTGTAGGTAGGTAGGTAGCTATAGGTAGGTAGGTAGCTGTAGGTAGGTAGGTAGCTGTAGGTAGGTAGTTATCGCTATGCGGAAATGATGAAACGCTATAACGAAATGATGAAACGCTATAACGAAATGATGAGTCGAGCATTTTGTCTCTGATCTACTTTTATACCATCGCATCCACCCATATGCCTCGCGAAACTCTTTAGTTGAAAATATATTTTCATTTTTAGTGACATTCTCCTCGACGTTGCATACGGACTGCACTTGGTCCCTCGTGTAAGACTACGTCCGGCTACCGGGCATTTATACAAAATATAAACAAATCGATCAAAAAGTACTCCATCAGTTAATTATATCCCCTTGTTCGCAAAAATTCTGTCAAATGTGCTCTCGGTTTTGGGACATAGTATTCGGAACATGAAATTACCAAAGGCATACGAGTGCAGGCCATTTGATGACGATGTTTGTTCGCTTCGAAGACGATGACAATAGCATGAAAGATACTCACTTGTTGTGGGTGGAGATGGCTGAAAAGTCCACTACGTGCCAGTCAGTTTTGATAGATAATGACCGGTATCCTACTTATTTGATAAATTTGACTAATTACTTGAACTTGGCCGTCCCAAACTTTCCTCTGTTTATCAAGAAGTGCGACACGATCCTGAACTCGCCTTTATATATATCCCACATCTAACGTTAGGATAAAATTAAATGTGTCCTGTCTAGATCTGTTAAGCTTTTCTTTTAATTTGAGCTCTAATAATTTTGTCCTAAGTCAAAGAATATGCCTGATAATGAATTTATGTGTGTGAACATCTTTCTTCCTTCTTTGATCTCTTCTTTTCCTTGTTAATTTGATTTTTAATCATAAGGTGTTCTTTTTCAGAATCAAGTATCAGCTTGTAGTACAACTGTAAGGTGAGTTTCTTTTAGTAGATGTTGGAATAAATTTAAAAAAGGTGGGCATTTGTAAGTCCTCTAAAGATTAATTTTTTACTATCAGCTTGTAAGTTTAAATTTTTATCAGTTTGGGAATTTGAAAGAGTTAACTGTTTTTCATTATCCCTCCACCTGCAAACATATCACCCAACAAAGTTATAGAATCCTTTGCTGAGACATGAATACATACTAATTATTAACTGTATATCTATCAAGGTGCAAAATTGTATTCTGGTCTAAATCCTTGACTTAAAAAACTTACACAATTCATCTGCACAGAATGTGGGATAATCAGAGAAAACATCAAACATATGATGTTAACTTATCGCTAAGTTGATTTGGTAACATTATGTTGAGCCAGTCAACTCAATGGTAATTATGTTTAACTCAAGTCAAGCATTTCACGATAAAGTGAGTCACAAGATATAAGTTGTTTTTGCTGATTTCCACTGGGTTTTGGTGCTTATTGAAGAAGGCTTGTTACAGGCCTAGGTGATAACATTTTATCTGTTTTCCACCGACAGAATCTGGACCTAAAGATTACAGCCAGATATGACGGTGAAAAGGAAGAGAGAATGGAGGTTGATGATGAATCTGGTAAATGCATTTCAGATAATTATAACCTGTTTTGATTTGAATGTACTGATTGTCACATTTGATCAACATTGTTACAAACTTTGTTGGCTGGGTATGGTGAGATCATGCGAACAATTGTCCAATGGGTAAACAGATTTTTTGAGGACTTGTTCAAATTACAAATTTTTGGGACCGTCAATACACTAATACTTACAACAGAACGCTTCGCCACCACCAGCTGTTTAATACATTCTGAGAATATACTAGCAGCTTACATGTGGAAAGTTCCCGTATTTTATAGGGTAGTAAACAATGTCATGTAAGAAAGACAAGATGTACAATGGTAACATTGTCGTGTAAGTAACACAGAATATGACATCTTTTTTTTTACGGACGCCAACATGCGAGCCCTAAGTTAATGAAATAAAAATAGTTCGATAGTAATTGTTCGTGGCCAAATTCCCTGAACTTAACACGTTAGATTAGTATAGGCTAATACAATAGCAATGAAAATATCATTCAATGAAAAGTCATAGTAATTGATCGACCACAAAGGTCTCTTGAATGTCTATTGCACATGCCAAGAGTCCACTTAGAGCTAACTGTTTCAGTTAAAATTTATGTGGTATAATCAGTCAAATA